TCGCGTTTTTCCTAAGGAAAGAGGTAGAAGTTAAAAAATCGAGAACTCTTCCAATAAAAGGAGCCAAGAGCTCGAAATGTTTTCTATATCTCTTCTATACATCCCTGATATCCACAAAAGGGTTAAATTTTCCAACTCGTTTCATTACCAAGTTATTGAATTTTTAAATTTTCCAGAATTACCCTTGGATAACTGTATAATGAAATGACCATAAAATCGTTAGTTCTTTACGAAAATTGTTGAAATTTTCAACTGGATATTTTTTTTGAAGGTGTTGTTGCTATTATGAAAATAAATTATAATTAATTATAAAAATAATTCATTTCAGATTGGTTTGGTATTTGAGAGTTTCCAAATCTGTTTAAAATCGCACGGTGAACATTTGTTCGTAGAGCAGGTGGGTATCTGGTTTTTGAGTTAAAAGATGATTATTTTCGTACAATATAGTCTTATTATAAGTCAGATGTTGACAGAAGTAAAAAGAAATCGAATTCGAAAAACAAAATTAATTCGATGAAAAACTCCTTAGGGGTACCCTTGCCTTGCCCTGAATTTTCGTGAAAAAGTGTTTTATTTGTAAAACTAACAAACTATACACCATTCTATGCAGCTTTTGACGCTGATTGCGAATTCCACATTATTTTCCTAATAAAAACGTTTCTCAATCTAGAGAAATGAAAATTACCTCGACAACCGGCAGTCCTTTAGAAAAACTGTATCTAAGTTCAGAAGCAAACCCGCGTGCACTATACATGTAGGACATGGTAATGAACATTTTGGTCTAATTTTGAGTTCGCCGAAGAGGTAGATGTAGGTGCATAACTCCTTACAATTTGAGTACCGGCAGAGAACTCCTGTTCGTTCGAAAGAAACCCGCCTAGTTCAAAAACTATACGCTCAAATCGAGTAGTTTTTTCGTCATTTTAATGAAGAAACATTCTCGATTACGAATATCGACTTTTTTAATCCACTCCTTATGTGTTTGATACCAATTAGTTTTTTCGAAACAGTGTACCGCCGTTACGTTAATTTTGTTACTTTCTTTATTGCGACAAGGAAAGCACCTAGAAGAAACTTCTAACTTACGAGTCTAGTCACTGAACAAGAATATGTTAATTAGAAAATTGAAAGTTCTAAACTGACTCGAAAATTCAACTTTAAAAATAGAGACGAAAAATCGACCTTTTCACCATCTCAGAGTTTTCCCAAATTTTCGAATGGACGTAGGTCTAAAAATTTCGTGAACACATATTCGTGATCGCCTTGGAAAGGGCTATCCAATGGTGTAATAAAAAACGAAAAATAAATTTCACTTGAAGTTTGCTTTCCGTGGTAGGTACTTGTGTTTCTTCACCACGTTTACTGTTCTGTTCGGAGTTTGCTTCGGTTGAAAACATTTATAACAAAATAAAAAATAAATCGTTCTTTTATCTAGATTTAAACGTTTAGTTTCATCTTTTCTTCTTTTTTGTTTGATTTGTCACGGTAGTATTCATTGTACTATTTTGTCGTCCATATTGTTGTTCACGCCATGTCACTTGGTTTAAATTTTGTTCACCGCCACTATTACCGTTCTTGTCATCTTTTCGTTGTTTTTGTCCATTATTAAGATTCTCACTAAGTCCTTTAAATATGACATAGGCATATTTCAACATGATATTTTCACCAATCTTTATATTGTCCAAATCACTTTCATTTACATTTTCATCCCATAAATCACTTCGTTTTAAGTATGTTTGAATTGGAATAGATAAATCGATAATTGGTAATAATATTCGTATAATAAGACGTTTAAGTACATTAATCCATACATGAATATCACGCATTGATGGTGACAATTTTTCATTCAAATATGTTTCTTTTGAAAATTGTTCGATTACTTGTAAAATTTCTTCTTTTCCAAATGATTTTTCATCTAATTCTTGTTTTATATACTTTTTCATTATTTTATCAAATACAATTTCTTCGATTAATTCATATAAACTGATAATATATTTAATTTGTATTGTAGAAAACAATTGTTGTTGCTGTCGAAGTATACTCGTATTATATTTAATATATTTTTCGATGAATACTTGAACTGTTATTGTATTATCATCTGAAATTAAATTTCTCAAATAGGTAAATATATAATCTAATGATCCAATATAATGAAGAATTTCATCATGTTTCATATTTGTTAACAATAATTGTAATTTCATTTTATCATCATTTGGTAATGGTTCTTGACATATTCGATTTCGAATATCAGTAATTAATGTTGAATCTTCATTGAATAATTCAAGTTGATAATTTAAAAATGTAAATTTTGTTAAATCAAATGTACATAAATGTTCAATCATATGTTTGAGTTTAATTTCAACTTCATCAAAATCGTACAATATTGTTTTACTTTTCCCATAATTATAATCGATAACAAAACTATCATCATATAGAAGATGAAGAAATTTTTCACTATTTATCTGAAATAATTGTTCAAGTTTAACATTTTGAATTATTTGTTGCTGCATATTCTGTATATTTTGATCATTATTACTTATTGTTTTCTGTTTAAAATGCGAGACAATATCATTTTGATATTGTGCTAATTCAATTAAACATCCAGCTAGTAGAATTGATGATTCATCTTTCGTTGTATTCAATAGGAAATAGGCTAATTTTGTTTTCTCTTCAAAATCTTTTTTTGTATTTGAATCCAAATGAAACGGTCGTCTATGGCATCCATAGGCTACTTCGACGAATGTCAGTTGAAACCATGCATTTTTAAAATCTTTAAACAATTGACAAAATAATGGTTGATCATGTTCATTATTTTCTTGATTGTTCAAATAGAATGAAAGGGAATTTGTGGCTGCATCATTTCGTGTAATACGATGATTAAATTTTTGTAATAAATAATTTGTAAAATTGACAATTGGAAACAGATATTTGATATTTTGAAATTCATTTAAGCGTTGAAGAATAAAATTCGTTATTGGATAGTACAGATCAATATCACGAATGGTCATTTGTAATTTTGAATTAAAATCTTCAATAGTACATTTAGTATTTGTTACATTTAAATATTCTAACAGTGGATATTTCTGATCGTTTTCTGTTAATTCATCAATAAAATCATTTAATTCTTCCAATTTTTTTTGTCGTACATATTCAATATAAATTGTTTTATATTCATCGATTTCTGTTATTACTGATTCAATATGAGAAAATAGAATAGTTTCTTCAAATTGTTTTTCAAATTGAATCACATTGGCATTTGTATTTAAAATTCCAGGTAAATGTAAAATGTCCAAAGTATGATTGAATAGTTTATATAACCAGATATGACCAGTGTTATTATCATCCAAAATTTCATATACTAGTTGACAATCTTTTTCAAAATGATTTTTCAAATAAAGATTTACTGATGATGTGGTATTGATTTTACGTTGTGTCAGCTGAATGAGATCATCTTCAGACAAATATTTCAATTCATATAACAAAATAAACATTGAATGCGTGAACATATGAAGTAATCGAAATGACATTGGTTTATTCAAATGAGCAGACTTATCATGAATCGTTGAATGTTCAGCTGTTGTACTATTGTGATAACCGAAACGATCTGTTTTAGTATAATTCGCAATATATTCATCAATGAATTGAAATCCATTTTGTATAGACAGTTGTATTTGTGGTGGAGAACGTCGAAGCAAAACATGGGGTGCCTGTGCTCCAATTTCTGCAGTACACCATGGACATCGTGTACGTTCGACTGGTGCACCACAGTTATCAAAAAAGTACATATATAAACAATTGTTCGAACATCGATAAATGAATCGTCCATCTTCCATGAATATCCTTCCAGTATCTACCCGTTCTTGAACAGATCTTTTAACATATAGCATTTGTTTAACCACTCGATCTTCAATATACAAACCTAATAGACATCGTCGATTGATGTGCTGGACGTAATTGTTTGGTATTTTATTGGCATTATCCAAGAGTAAACTGTTCATAAATGTGGGTTCTGGGGATGATGATGATAGTGACGTTAGGAGTAGAGCAAATATATTTAAAGCAATCAGACGATAATGAACTTGTTTTTCAGTCATTCCCGGATGTAAATAGAAGTATGACGTTCGATTAAAATTTTTATACAGTTCTAAAATAAATCTATAGCCAATCGGTTCAAAGTAGAGACACAAATCATTTTTTAAATCATCTTCAATAAATGTAAGAAACTGTTTGTCTTCTTGTACTATTGAACTGGTATAAAATTGAGAGTAATACTGAATAAACCAAATGTAGAAACAATAGGTGAGACGCCTGTTTGTTCGACATTGCATCATAAGAAATTTTATTTGCTCATAAGACTTTGATTTCAGTATTGTACTAACATCGGTATAATCATCTTTAGATAGTGAACAGAATGGTAAATACATATCGATTGTTGGCATTTGATTATTGATGGCATCCTGTCGAAGAAATTCATTTATCCATGCAACATTACGATTTTTGAATATTGCTCGTAAATGACTGACATTTTTGTCTTTCATAAAATATAACATTTGCTTGATAATAAATATTTTCAATGATGAACACATTAAGCTGGCTAATGATTGACTATAAAGAAATTGATCGATCTGTTTCATTATTTCCGATTTTGAATCTTGATTTAGAGCATAAGCATACAATTCCAAATAGAATCTCAACCACGATATCAGACTGATCATTGACACATAGCGTTTAGAAGGAGATTGAGCGAGTAGCAGTTCTTGTATTTGTAAAAAATTTTGTTCAAAATATCCATAATCACTTGTGAGTGTATCATCAATACTATTTTCACCTACAGTTAACTTTAAACTCATATATATATAATTCGTATAGATTTTAATCAATTTATTGCAATTATTCTGTCTTTTATTATTCTGTAAATGGTGTTCCAATTCTGATAGTATATTATCATATTCAATTCTACCGTGTTCTTTTTCGACGGTTTCACATAAATGTAACAATTCCCTGTCGATATAGGAAATAATTTTTGCCGAATATTTCCACAGATGATTTGTATTATCATTCAACATGTCCAACAAATCATAATAATTAGACTTGTGATCAATAATCCAGTTTCTCAATAATTCTGCTTCCAATTTGGTCAATGTTCGATCAATGGATTGATCATCTCTGTCACTATCTTGATATATTTCACCACGTAAAAATTGAATAAATTCATGAATGAGTTGACAAGATTGAAATATATTGATATTTGTGGATATGTACCTGATTACAGATCGAAATGTTTTTAATGGATTATTGGTTAACATTTCGATGACTTGTAGGAGACTGATCAACGGTTGTAATTCTTCCAAATTGTTCACTGAATAACGATCGAGACTTTTAATACTTTGAACAATACGGTTGTAGATTGTAGACAGGTTTGTAATATCATTACAATTTTGAATGATATTGAAATGTGTTATTGTGTGAATGAGGTTCATGAGACTATTTT